CCCCCCCCCCCCCCCCTTCCTTTAGAGTGTATGTAAAAGCAGTTCTCTTGGGATTAGGCTCAACTTTCTCTTCTGTGTTCCCTTTTTCTTCTCACTCTCTGCCACATATCTACGAATCAGTTTTTTTTTTCTGCCAGATAGCTCCTCCTTTTCTCCGGCTGCTAGCCCCAGCTGTCATCTCTGCTTCCCAACCCCCAACTTTAGTTATGCAATTTTACATTCAACTTTTCCTGGTTTTGCTGTCTCCATTTTTAATGCTTTGCCTCTGCTGTCCCCTGACCCCAGCTTCTAGTCTCTCCCTCCACCAAAGCCAGTAGCCACTGTTCAGTTTCCCTGTCATTATGGAACTAAGTGCATTGATAGTGATATTTTCTTAAAACTCAGATCTGAGCCCAGCTTAGACTGTGGGTGGAGGTGATAGCTGGGAAGGGTGTGGAGTTGAGGTAGACACGATTATTCTAAAATTTAGCCTTTTGCCAAAATAGTGGGTGAACCTTGATCTGGAGATCAAAGAGATGCTTCTCTGCTGGCCTCCAACTCTAAGCACTTGTGTGCTTTTGTGCTGAGGGTATATACTTGTTTGAAAGCCCTTGGTAATGAAAGGCAGGGCAGTGAGAAAGGTAGCTTACTGTGTACTGCCTCTGAGAGCTGGTTTTTCTCCTGAATTGGAGCTAATTTTGGATAGATAATGAAGTGGATGGTTGCTAATAACTTTCCCTTGCTAATTGTAATTTCACTGTACTGTTTTAGAGAATTTTTTTTACACTCTTCTTTCCTTGCTGTTTGGAGGAGAAATAGATTTATTTTTATAATTTTTGATGGGTGTTCAGCTATCCAGAAATCCCATAGTTGGTTTGTGTAGAGGTAGTGCAGTTTATTGGGAAAAACTCTAAGAGCTGAAGACTTCCATTCTAGTCCCAGTTTCAGTCAGGATTAGCCACCTGTGTGTTCTTGGGCAAGTCATGAACCTACCTCTATATTTGCCCTATGAACTTTACAGAACTATGTGAGTGAAATGTGGTCTATATGCACACACTTTGCAAAATGTAAAATTTTATAAAATTGTCAAAAAAAATCTGGCTGGGCATGGTTGTGCACACCTGTACTCCCAGTGATACCAGAGGCAGAGGCATGAGGATTACAAATTCAGGACCAGACCGGACAATTTAGCAATACCCTGTCTGGGGGAAAAAAAAAAAAGATTAGGAATGTAGTACAGTGGTTCAGTCCTCAGTACCAAAACAACAACAACAACAACAACAAAAAAGGTCAGATCTGCCCTTTATTGTAATATTCACAGAAACATATCGAATGTCTTAAGTTCCTTCCTCCTCTGAAGCCAGTATTCTGAAAACCAGGGCATTGGGATCCTCAGAATTAGGGATATTTCTTGCCTTTGAATCATCTTTTCAGGCTGGGAATATAGCTCAGTGGTAGAGTGTTTGCCTTGCATGCACAAGGCCCTGGGTTCAGTCCCCAGCACCACACACACACACACACACACACAGAGAATGAATGAATGAATCATATTTTCCTTTGTTTTCTCATTGTTTACCCCCCACCGCCCCAGTTGTTTTAGGAAATCTTTGACTCAGTGCACCTCTTCCTGCATCCTTTAGTGAGATAGATAGTAATTTTAAGGAGTTACTGGTCATAGGGTGCTGCATGTTCCAGTGGAGGGTCCCTAGTTTTTGTGGCTAGGAATAATTTATTTATTTAAATGGCGACAAAGCGTATCTTTTTTGGAGGGGCGGGCAGGGATTGAACCTGGGGTGCCTAACCACTGACCCATATCCCTAGCTCTTTTTTATATTTTATTTAGAGATAGGGTCTCCCTGAGTTGCTTAGAGCCTTGCTAAGTTGCTGAAGCTGGCTTTGAAATTGTGATCCTTTTGCCTCAGCCTCCTGAGCCACTGGGGTTACAGGCATGTGCTACCGTGCCTGGCTTATCTTTATCTTTTAATAACTACTGAAGTTTTTCCTGTCTTGCAAGACATGTTGATTGCATTTGGGGAAATTGTTGATACTGTGCTTTGGCTTTGGACACATCTGGATTCCAGGCAAACTCCTATTATTATTAGCTTGTGAATGGGCAAAATATTTAACTTTTTGGACCTTAGTCTCCGCATATTTAAGGGGATTAAAGTGTACATATCTATAAAGCAGTTGTGAGGATAATGAATGCAAAGTGTTTAGCACATTTATACTTAGAAAATGTTACCTCTTTGTATAAGCCTAATAATAATGGCCGTTTAAAAATATTTTTAGTTGTAGATGGACACCGTACCTTTATTTTATTTATTTTTAGGTGTGTTAAGGACTGAACCCAGTGCCTCACATGTGCTAGGCAAGTGTTCTACCACTGAGCCACAACCCCAGCCCTTATAATGATCTTTGAAAAGAGCATAGAAAGATGTTCATTGTCGGTATTTTAAGGGATTTTAAATGTCATTCTTAACCAAATTTGTTTAAATATACATCATATAATTTACCAGTTCAAACAATAGTTTTGACCTAGTTCTATTTGTTTTGATAATAGATATAAAATAGAACTGCGTCAAATTAACATTTCTTCCTCCTTAGTAGGATGTCTTCTTGGGGGTGGCATGGTTAGGCTGAGTGACTTGCTTAGTTTTGTGTAGTGGGAATCACATTCAGACTGTTTCTCAGCTGCCTTTGAATTGTGTGATATTTGGATTTGGGGTTACACTGGAATTGGATGGGTTCATGGTGATTCTGAACTTTTCTTTTATATTAGCATGATCAGCAGTTTGATAAGCAGTCTTAAGTGTAAGCCTGCTTTGAAGTGCAATTCAGAAGAAGGAAAAATATGCAAAACAAATCCACTAAAAGATTTCCAGTACATAATCAAGTGCATAATTACAGCATTTGAGAGGATATAAACTCCTGAGGTTCACAAAGAATGTGAAAAGACAATTTGTGATCATCGCTATTAATGGTCAAGAGTAGGATTAAAACAGAGTAATACTCTTTACTGTATTCCAGGGATTTATTAATACTTAGTTTTCTCTGTTAAAAGTAATAAATGGAATGAAACCAGCTTCTTTTGCCTTGACTGTATATTTGTTGGCATTGTCTTTCCAGATGGGCAGGGGGTAGTTTGAGACTGAGAACAAGGTTCCTTTTTTTGCCAGTTCCTTTATCTGCCAGTGAGCTCTGTTCTTCATATAGGGCTTTGGAGGTTCCTTTCTGCAATTCTAAAAATTTTGTGTCTGAGAATGACATCTGTTTATCTATTTGGGGTCTCTGTTTATTACAAGGAACAAATGTGAATCTGAAGGAGGTAGTTTAGAGTAACATATTCAAGGCAGAACATTTAGTCTAATTAATTAGTATATTTCTGTGGTCTCCAGATTCTATTTCAGTAATTGAAAGACTCGTATGAATTTGGAGGTCTTGAGGTCTTGACCTCTACTTGAGTTAAGTATAGCACTTCCCTTAGCATTCTTAGATCCATGGGGTGGGGTTTATCTCCGAAGGCAAATATTACTTTGGATATAAATGAATGTTCCCACTTAGCAACCTCCATTTTCAGTTAGCCCCATTACATTCTTGGCTTCTGGACTGTAGGAACACTGTTCTACTTTACTCTTTCTCTCCTGAATATTCTTAGTCTGTTATTGGTAGCTCCTGACCCCACTCTGCTCACTTCAGGGGAACTTTCTTAGCTCATGAGCCACAACTCCAAAAGGAAGTTGCCAAGACTTAAAACGCCCTCTTTTAGCTTCTTGCCCTTATCTTAGGACACTGCCTGAATGGCAGAAATACTGCATGAACTCTAGGTGGAGCGAATGAGTGAGAGAAAGTATGCTTATACTATGATTTCTTTTCCTGTGGGCCTAACTTCCAAGTTTTTCGAATGAGCCTGAATGAAGAAGACGATGATGATTTTACTCTCTGCCATTGCCACTTTGTCTTATGGAAGTATAACCTCAAACAAATTATGGGCAAGTGGAAATAGGCATCAACTTTATTTCCTGGGCTGTGCCTGACAGTGTTGGCCGAGACCTGGCCTTTTCCTTAGAATTTAGTTTTAATTCTTCACTGTACATACCTCATCTTTTTAAGCTGCTTCTAGAAGTCAGGCAACTAGACTAGATAGAGAGAGCCTGTAAGAAAGCATGGCATTTTCAGGAGATATTTCTAATTGTATGGAATTATATGGAGGGCATATTCCCTGTATTCACTAGCAATTGGGTTGCTGTTAACTGCTGGGTCAACTCCTGAGCTAACCCCAATAGTAATTCTCAGTCTGCTGTGAAGTGTACACTGTCCAGTTCTGTGCCTGAGGATCTGCATTCAGGTAGAAGCTGCCTGGTTATAGAAAACTGCGCTATTTTTTTGTCATAGGCCTCTGAAAGAATAGGAGGGGGGAAAATCAAATCTAAACTCATGGTAGAATCCTGCATGAGAGAAATGTGCTACCTTTCAGCCAAAATTTGGGACTCTTGAGTCCTAAGAGAAGATACCAGTAGGTCAGATAATACTTCTTGTTGAGGCTTACTAAAGACATTACATCTCAAATGAAATGCTTACACATCCAAAAGAGAGATCCTGACTTGGCATATAAACCTACTGCCACTTCTGGTTATCTTTCATCACTTGCTTGAGTTTGAAAAGGTAATGGTTTATGCTCTAAGGAAAGAGGCTCTTTCCCAAAACCTGAGGCTTTCTCATTCCTACCAGCTGGGCCCATTGCTAAAATGCTTTCCAGTGGGCTTGCTTCTGCCTGGCCAGCACCTGGGCTGCCCCAGCTTGCAGTTGGCCTGCCTTTGCTTCATAAGCTTCCCAGGGTGGTTCTTCTTCTAAAAGCTTGTATGAATTGCTATTACTGTCTCTTTATAGTTTAAAAATGAATCCTTTTTTGTTCTTTGCAACTCATTTGCTTTTTTCTTTTCTTTAAATTACTATTAACACCTGTTGATTCTTTTTTTTTTCTGGTTGGCCTGTCACTGCATTCCTGCTCCCCCTCCCTCTAGCTGGGTTTGTCAAGTCGCCCATGTCAGAAACTAAGCTCACGGGGGACGCCTTTGAGCTGTACTGTGACGTGGTCGGGAGTCCCACGCCAGAGATCCAGTGGTGGTACGCAGAAGTCAACCGGGCAGAGTCTTTCAGACAGCTGTGGGACGGTGCTCGGAAGCGCCGTGTCACCGTAAACACCGCCTACGGGTCAAACGGCGTGAGTGTGCTGAGAATAACCCGGCTCACCTTGGAGGACTCTGGGACTTACGAGTGCAGGGCCAGCAACGACCCCAAGAGGAATGACTTGAGGCAAAACCCCTCCATAACATGGATTCGAGCCCAGGCCACCATAAGCGTCCTTCAGAGTGAGTCCAGCACCCTACAGTAGTAGTACTGTAGTCATTAGAGGTGGCCCGATGACCCTTCCCTTCTGCTACCTTTTCCTCTTCCCCAGTATGATCGCTCACCCCACCCCTTGTCTTCGTTTTTTCAAACCCACGACCCTTCTGGTTGTAGTGTATGAAAACATCTGTGGCAACTTTTTTTTTTCTTCTTTGCCGTCCTCTCTGCCTCCCTTATTTCCCCACCCTTCTCTGTGTCTTTCTCTTCAGGAACAAAGAACTTGAGGAAATCCATGACTGTCCAAAATCATCCGTGTTGGGGAGAGGTGGGAAGGGAGAACTGGGGAAGTTAAAAAAAAAAAAAAAAATCAAATATAAAACCAGGCAGTCAAACAAGGGTAGTGTTGAAATTGTTTCTTTCCCTTCCCTTTAATTTTGTAGTAGGTTTCCTGCTATCCTTTTGCTGGTTTCTCCTCTGGTGCCTTTCTATTTTTGTTTCTCTCCCCAGTCTAACTACTTTTTATTTCTTCTGTTCATCTGTTTGAAGCTCTCTGAGTAGCTGCCTTCATCTCTATGGTTTTAAGTTTGTGTCTGCCCAGCCTCTTCCCTCACTGTAACTTAGTGTCATCCTGTTCTGTGATGGGAATGTTGCCATGGGTGCAGTGTGGTGATATGTTTTGATTGTTGGATGGCACATAAGCTTGGATATTTCCATAGTTTTAGCTCTTTTTCTTTTCTAAAACAGTGGCATGTTCTTCTCTGACAGCAACCCTCCACTGCAGCAGTACATCCCTCACTGGGCCTATACATTCATTTCCCTGTTTTTTGTTTGTTTTTAAGCAGCAGCCCAAGATTACTTCCATGTCTTGCTTGCCATTAGGAGCTAGGTGATACAAAGCTGCAAAATATTTTTTTAAAGCCCCATCACCATGTCTCAAAGTCTAGTTGCATCTGATTTCTATTTACAGATAGTTTGACTTTGATGACTATTGGCACAGTGTTCCTCATACCAGAGGATGGCAGCCTCTGAAGTAGTTTGGAAGCCATTCACAATGGCCTTCTCTTTATGTCTTAAAGATATGTCTTAAATACAACACTATTTCTCTGAGTGATGGAGTAAGCTGAGTATAGGGGTCAGAATTCTCCCCTTCATCTATTATAGTAGGCACAAGTGAGACATCTGACATAGCAGCTTTTGTGCTCAATTCTTTTTTCTGGAAAGTGACTTTTGCTTTGTATGACAGGAAAGAGGAAGAGGCACCATAGAACTAATGCTCTTGACCAAGAAGTGTTTCAGCCCCATCTTAGACCTAGTTATAATTGAGGTTACATTCTCTATTTGATAGAAGAAGAATGTGGATTTTTCACATTATCTTTAAGGGCTCAGTGAGAGACCTATAGCCACTTCTAGCTTAAAGACCTGACTGATAGAGTAAAAGTAATAAAGTACTATTTTATGAGGAATTTGGTAATAACACGGGAGGTAATGTGACATGGGCTCTGAATCTGCATATGGAAAATAGCACATTAATGTCTGTTCTTTGTAGCTATTTGGCGAAGATTTCTGTGGGGGTTGCGATAGGCCTTAGAGGATAGGCTGCTGCAGTTGGCACTGTTGAATCAGAGAACCTGCTCTGTAAAGGGGGAAAAGAAAACCTTGTCTATGTGAAAATGGGGAACATTAACCCAGCAATTTTTCTTTTCTTTTCTTTTCTTTTCAACAATTTTTTCCCTTGCACGCCTCCTTCTCCTGCCCCCTTGCTCCTTTCCTTATAACATCAGAATTTCTCATATGGCCACAAAAGTCTGCAGAAGTTTAGGCATGGACAGGACTGGGCATTTGGTAGTTATTCTTCCAAGAGCCTGGCTCATAGCTAGAAAGGCTAGGCCTGGGGGCTAGAAAAAGATGAGGTGCCTACCCATCAATCCCAGAAGTACACAGCATTCTCCCATTGACTTAGAAATAAGCTTCCTACCTTAAGAGTGTTTGTATGTAGTTAACCAAATCCTGGCCAGTCATTCTTACCCTAGACTTCCCAATCAGTCACTCAACCCAAGTTAGCTATTTGTTGCTCCCTACCCCCCCCTTTTTTTCTTTCATGAACACCCTAAATTCAACTGTAATTGTTTTATCTTAGGCATCCAAGAAGAAATTGCCTCTCTGGGGAGGTTGAAGTCTTCTAAGAATAACCCCCTGGCAATACTTTTCCCAAAGTTCTTTGAATGATGTAATGCAGGAAGAGAAATGTGCCCTGTTTTTAGGGTGTCTCTGTGGCCATAGCATTTTCTTTATGCATGATTACTAGGATAAGGGTCTCCTACCTGATGCTTCTAAATAAAAGTCAGTGGCAGATAAAAATGTTTGAACTTCTCCTAAATGTTCATCTCTCTCGAACTTTGGACAGTACTTGGCCACAGAAATAAAAGTCCCACCTTCATCTGGGTGCAGAATGCAGATATGGCGCCATGGCCAAGGATTGGTCAAGCACTGGTTTCCATATACAGCAATACATAGGAGGCAGGCTACCTACCCCACAACCCTCCTATGCTGCAGAATCATATTTAAGCCTATTTAAATTATCCACTTGCTCCCAACTGACTCTCTCATGGATCTTTTAACATTAAGGGGAAAAGTGCTTTCCTTTGCCTTCCAAGAATTCTTGGCAGAATGTCTACCAGATTACTTTCATCAACTTCTTAATCTCCCTGAGCTGCAATGGTCATTTGCATCGCTACAGGTAAGAATAGCATTTATTTTGGCCTCCTTGTATTTAAACATCTGGAAACTCTTGGCCTCATTCTCAGAGTTCAGCCTTTCTCAGTGCAATCTGAGAAGAAGAAACCGAAGGAGAGTCCCAAGTGGGGCGGAAAATGAAATCGGATAATAAAAATTTAGTAAAAACCTGAAAGTGTGTTTGGATTTTAATGTTGCCTTGATATTTTTTAATTTCTCTTCTGTGGAGTACTGGTTCTTTTTTCTCTTTTGTTTTTGCTTGGTTTTGATTTTTCTTGGAATTGTGATGCTTTCTGCTGATGGTGTGTGTGCGCCTTTCATTGCAGGGTTTGCAGCCATTCAGCTCGACTTCTTAAGGCCCAGGGATTTGGCTTCTGTCCAGTGTGTCTTGGAAACCATGGGGACACCACTGCGCTAACATGTTCACATGCATCTGCTTTTGTCTTAGTGGCTGCTATGCCTCCATTATCTGTACATAGAGACCCTGTTTGGTGTTACTGATAAGAACCAGTGCTGAATGGAAGATAACCACTATCCTTTTGCTAGAATTGGAAATTAATTAGAACCACTTTGTTAATTGAAAAACTTAAAGGTTTTGTTTTATCACAAGTTTGTTTGACAATGTGAACTTTGTTGTCAGAAATGTTAAATTGGTTAGGAGATCTCAAGGCATTATGTTTTCCAAGTATCCCATGACTGTTCCATCCTCTTCCCCTCCCTGAACAATAACAGAATGGTTCCAGTAGAGGAAGATAATTCTGTTCTTTATAATCAGAACTATACTACATAAAATGGCAAAGGGAAAATGCTTGGGACAGGAAGCTGCTATAGGCAGGAAGTAGTCAGATACAGGGTAATGGGAAGTCAATCATGGGTTTCTGAGAAAGAACTGGGGGGCGCACAAATAAATACCCCTTAATGTGGATGAGAAAAGATGGTTAGTGTAGACCTCACCTGAAAATGTTTGACCAAAAATAGAAAAATAATAGCCTAGGAAAAGGTTAAAGACTAATAATAATAGCAACAAAAGATAGGATAACCTAGAAACCTCCAGACTTTAATATAGCAACGAAGATTTCAAAATGCTTTAAAGATAAACCTTCCAGGAATGATAGTGTGACTTAAAGTTTTTCTGCCGTGTTATATTTGACTAATATATAGGTTATTTTTGTTGGTAAACTGGTGATCCCAGTTTATCTAAGCCCAGGATAGAACTAGAAAGTAAAGTTACATATCTTGTCTTAGGTTGGAAGTTTGGGTGAGGTATGTGTTTTGGGGGGGTGGGGGTAAGGGATAGAGAATTCAATCAGATGTGTTTTCTAGGTCCATTTTTGCCACTAATAATAATTACAGCCTTGTCATTTCACCTTTCTAGCTCTTGAAAAGAGGTATTTAGTAAACTCTTAGGGCCTTGCAGCTCTAAAATTCTTGTAGCTCATAATTCCAAGACATTGCACTATAGTGTATTATTTTGAAATTGAATGTTTTAAAGTGCAATTGTGGAAAAAAATGTTTTGGGAATAAATATGGGCTGAAGAGAAGAAGAACTGATAGTTCTTTAAGAATTTTCCCTCCTTAAAATTCAGAAAATTCAAGAGACTTCCAGTGGGAAGTTTGCTTTTTAGGATATACACTTTTTTTTGCATAAATAATGGCCATGAATGGTTTGCCACAGGTTTAACAGATTTAAATGTGGGGAAAGCCATACATGTATTATTTAATTACACTTATTACTATTCTAATAGGTGTAGACTCCAATGACTCTCATAGAGAGTTTATTAGTTACAGAAATGATATTGCCTTTGTTTTTAGAACTGCAAAGTAAAGCCTGGTTTTCTAGTTGAAGCTGAATTGGTCGCTGATTCTTATATCAGAAAAAGGTGGTATTCAAAAATTGTTGCCAGTACATATACCTGTAATACTCCCATTCTTTCACGTCTAGGCCAACTGGTCTTCAGGCTTTGTCTGCACTAGTGGTCATTTGCTTATAATCATTGTTTTTCCTTTTTTGACTTCCTCCAAAGTGATAAAGTGAAAGTCCTCATGTGGTCCTGTCTGCCCTCCCTTTTCTTCTAATTTCCCCTTCCTATCCCACCCAACTCTAAGGCCAGGGTTACAGACAATGGAAAGCTCTGGCCCCCTATCATTGTACACTCTAATTGCAGAGCCAAGAATTGTCACCAGTGAAGAAGTCATTATTCGAGACAGCCCTGCCCTCCCTGTCACCTTGCAGTGTAACCTCACCTCCAGCTCTCATACACTTACATACAGCTACTGGACAAGGAATGGGGTAGAATTGACTGCCACTCGTAAGAATGCCAGCAACATGGAATACAGGTGAGAGGGGCTAGCACCTCTTAGGAATATGGGTGGGAGTGTGGCTGAGCTTACTTGACTTTTTGTAAGTCATAATCATTAAGACTTTACATACACATGTTGAAATGACGAATCTGAGAATGATGTTTAAAAGGTGCATTGGGAACTGTTTTCTCACAGTGAATTGAAATGTTTCTTAAACTGTTACCTATTTATTGACACGTTTTGACTTGTTTCTCTATGGGCCTTTCTTACTAATGCTGTTCAAGCCTTATTAGGAGTTTACATATAGATGTTAAAAAGATTAGTCTGAGGCCATTATTTAACAAATGCAATGTAAACTTTTTCCTTTCACTTCTTTATTTCTCTTTTTAAATTGGTGCATTATAATTGCACATAATAATGGGATTCATTATGCTATATTCATACATGCACATAATTTACCAAATAAATGCTATGTCCATGTACAGATGTACCATATCAAATTCCACTAATATATAATTATAATGCACTAATTAAAATAAAAATCAAAGCACTAATAATAATAATAATAATAATAGAAGGGAGATCAGTAGAGTAGGGTAGTAGAATTGTGGGAGCAAAGAAGAAAAGAAAAGGGAGGGAAGGTACTGGGAAGTGAACTTTTATTTCAGTGAATTTAATTATTTACTAAACTATGAACTATGATATGAGATATATTTGTTCCTCTCCTGGATAGTCCAGTCCAGTATATCTGATGTGAGGTTCAAGAATCTTTAGTAAAGATTTCCAAATGATTCTACTAAGTAGCCAGGTTTGAGAGCCATAGATTTCCCCTTACTCTGATAAAAGAGAAATTGAGGGTAAGGCATAGTCAGCAGTAGAGTCACTGTTAAAATTCAGGTCTCTCGACATAATCCAGTGATTTGAGGGATCAGATCAAAATCAGCTTTGAGCCTCTTATTAAAGTAAGAGTCTCTCCAAGTGATTATTCTACTGGGTAGGTACCCTAATGGATTACCTTTTTTTAAAAAAAAAATTTTTTTTTAGTTGTAAATGGATCTTTTATTTTATTTATGTATTTATATGCAGTGCTGAGGATGGAAACCAGGCAAGTGCTCTACCACTGAGCCACAACCCCAGCCCCATGAATCACTTTTTAAGAATGTTTAATATCACCATCATCTGGTCAGAAACAGCAGATACAGGGCCTTTTGGTAAACTATAGTAAGGATGGTGGCCTGGGAATATCCTCTGAAAAAATGACCATACTTGGTGGTCTGAGTTATCTGGCAACCAAAGATTTGGTGTGCTTTTTGGAATATTTAGAATGCATAGCACCTTAGCTTTCTTAAGTATGTTTCTGTTTGGAAATTGATCTGGAAAAGGATCAGCTAATCCTGCTTGGCAGGTTGATAAAAGTATAAGGAGTGAGGCTGGGAAAGCCTGGGTGCGCAGTAGTAGCAAGGACATTCTCCAGTATTTTGCAGCATTGAGATCTTGTCAGCCCCTTATTTAATCCACATGAATTTGTAGATCCTCTTCCTTTTATTCAGGTGAGGAAACTAAGACTCAAAGAATAATTCTTGCCTGCTTTTAGGCCAAATAATATATTTAATAAGTTTTAGAACCAAGGCAATGTTCCAAGTCTTCAGACTTTCTAGAATTATTTTTTGAAAAATTTCTCCCTGTTATTCCATACTATTTAGTGGTATGTTGGTTAACCTTTTTCCACTGTAGTTTCTTCTGATAACATACTGGAAATAGAGCCTTGGCTATATCCTTGATAGCTTGGAAAGGGTTAAATCAGTTTAAGATGTTGAGTGGAATGGAAGGCATTTATTCGTGGTCTGTCCATTAGTTTTACAGATCTGTTTTTTATAATATCTCTTTCAAGGTGGCAGACATCCAGTCATAGTTCTCTTGGATTTTGTGCAGTTGTCCACGAAGCTTTGAGCTGTTAATGTTATGGAGATTTTGACCTGATTATAAAGTGCCTCTTCCCCTATTTTTCTCTTGACTTATCTGAAGCTCTTCAGGGATGTTTTGCATCACCAGAGTTTTCTAGGGATTCTGCATTTTTTTGGAATAACAACTTGGCTATTCAATAAGTTAGCCATGGAGCCAATTTGAGAAGCCTGCTTCTGCCTACCTTATAGGAAACATTTTCTCTTTGACTCTCTGTCATCTTCAATTTTTCTTCTTCTCTTTCTTTAATTTTTTATTTTTTTGGTGGTAGAGATTGAACCCAAGACTCTGTGAGTATTAGGCAAGTGATCTATCACTGAGCTACATCTCCAACCCTCTGTTGGTTTCAATTTCTTCCCAGTAGTGAGTCCAGGGGAATGGTGTAGGGAGATTTTGTGCCCTAGACATGGCCTCAAGCTTGGGAGTCTTATTCCCAAGTATTTCTAAAGGAACTTAGAGTTTGTCTGAGCCCTGAAGATACAGCTACTCTTTCTCCTTCAAATTCTGGAATACTTATTAAGAGGAGCTTATTTGTGTGTCTCTTCTTACTGGGAACATATAGATTTAAAACAATGCATTTGTGTCAATTTGGAAGACATTTTGACTACTCCTCTTAGAATGGTCTCCTGCTGTGGATATTTATAGACAGTCCTGGGGATGAGCTGTGCATCTCCTCAATCTATACTCTCTCATTTTTTTTTAAACATTCATTTTTTTTTAGTTGTAGTTGGACACAATACCTTCATTTTATTTATTTATTTTTATGTGGTACTGAGGATCGAACCCAGGTCCTCGCATGTGCTAGGCAAGCACTCTACCACTGAGCCACAACCCCACTTAACCTGTGTTTCTTTTTTTTGAATGAACGTTGAGATGGGTAGATGGTTTTGGGCCAGTCAGTAGACAAGATTGGGAGTTTCTATTAGACATTAATTAGTGCAGTGGAGATTTGATCATCACAAGTATCATATTTTAATGACTGAGCAAAAGAACAGGAGTTCAGTCTTATGTAAGTATCCTATGATCTGGAGATTATTGATTCTGTTTTCTGTTATTGCTAACCACCCTTTCTACATGTGTTTGGTATATGTATATGTAGACCAGAGTCTACTGAGGTGGAATGGAGTTGGCTCTCAGGGGCAAGAAAACTTATTTGGGCTTACCTGTAAGATTGAGAGGAAGGACATGCTATTTTGGCCACACATGCTTCTTAACAGTTATTCCTGTCATTTAGTCATTCATTCATTCCTCTACTGTACTCTAGCACCAAGTAAGGTGCTGGGTATAGAACTGTGTTCTAATTAAACAGTGTCTACCTACATAGAACTTGATCTGTTGGGAAATCAGACATTAATCAGACTATCACATAAATACATAATTAATTACACATGGTAATAAGTGCTGTGAAGAATCATAGGATAGTATGAGAGAGAATGTCAAGGAGGAGGATGAAATTTACATTAGGACTGGGAGGAAGTGATATGTAAACCCAGACCTAATGGAAAAGGAGTTGGGTAGGCTAAGAGTAATGGGAAAAATATTTCATGTAAAATAACATCTTGTGTGAAGGTTTTGAGCTAGGAATAAGCTTGGCACTTTGGGAAAAAAAACCCACAAAAACCTAGTACAGCTGGAAATTGGCATGAGATGAGGGAGGCTAGGGTGGTAGGCAGGAACCAGATCATGCAGGGCCTTCTTTAAAACTACATTTCTGTGGATAATTCTTTGTTGGCAGATTTGGTTCTTTGCTTGAAAGCAGAAAAACAAATTATACCTGGGTCCTGTTAGTGAGTAGTAGACTTACCTGAAAGGCATGCTTCTAAATAAGATCTTTAGAAAAGCTCAAAAAGGCTTGTTTTGTTTGTTTCTTCTGCTCTTAGTTTTCTGATTGGAACCAAGAAGTTTTTAGTGATGGTTGTGTATAAACTATACTAAGTATAAATTATAGTACTTTGTGTGGCATTATATTTTAATTACTTAACTTTGTAGTTTGTTTCCCCCATTGGACTAGAGTATCTTAAGGTTAAGGACCATGGTCCATTCCATCTCTTTATTCCTGGCACCCAGTAAGGAATAAGGCATTAATGTTTTGGGATATACAAAGGGAGGTTTTTGCTTTCAGTTAGGAAGAAGTGAGTTGCATCAAGGAACAGGATTTGGAGAGCATGGTCTCTGCTTGCTCCTTTTAAGTCTCTTTTTGTTTATGTTTTAACCATTCCCAGTTAACCTCACTTCATTTTTCTTCCCATCTCTACAGGATCAATAAGCCAAGAGCTGAGGATTCAGGCGAATACCACTGCGTATACCATTTTGTCAGCGCTCCTAAAGCAAATGCCACCATTGAAGTGAAAGGTATGACCCAGCAGAGGCTGAGGTGTCAGTATGTTACTCCTGAGACTTTACTTTGGTCTGGACTCCTGGTGTTCGGTTCTTTTTTTTTTACCTTTTTACATTTCAAGAAGCAATGTATTATTATGGTTAGGACCCCAGACTCAGGAGCCTAGCTGCCTGGGTTTAAATGCAAACCCAAACATCTACTACCTGTGTGACTTTGGCAAGTTACTGGGTTTTCTATGCTTCTGTTTCCTTGTTTGTAAAATGAAGATATCAGCAGTATTTATCTCATGAGTTTGGTAGGAGGATTAAAAGTAATTTAATAAGCTGGGCACTGTGGCACATACCTGTAATCCCAGTAGCTTGGGAGGCTGAGGCAGGAGGATTGTGAGTTCAAAGCCAGCCTCAGCAAAAGTGAAGCACTTTTTAGAGACCCTGTCTCTAAATAAAAATACAAAAAAGAGTTGAGGATGTGGCTCAGTGGTTGAGTGCCCCTGAGTTCAATCCCTAATACCCCACCTTTCCCCAAAAAATTAATAGATAGGTTTGAGTTGAAGAAATTGCTGTTTAGGGGCTGGGTTGTGGCTCAGTGTAACAGTGCTTGCCTAGCTTGTGAGAGGCACTGGGTTCAATCCTCAGCACTATATATAAGTAAAGTAAATACCCATTGACAACTTAAAAAAGTATATTTTTACAAAATTGCTGTTTTTATACAACAGAAATGTTTAAATGTTGGCAACTCATATGGCCCAATCTTAGGTAGAGCTCTTAGAATAGCACCTTACAGGTATTATTACATAGGGTTCCAGTGGGCTAACAGGATTTGGGAAAGTATAGTGTGCAAGGTTGAATATAAGCTGTTTGTAGGTAATTCATTAGAAATGTGCCTGTGGGTATATGGCATCATAAAGATGAGTCTTAGAGTTTTAAGAAGGGTAAATAGAACTATAAAAGTTAGAACCACCTAGTAACATCATTAATCTGTTTTTCTGTTACTCACAGGAAAAGTGAAACCACTAGCTCTGTGTTCTCTGGTGAGTTTTTTGGCAGAGCTGGCCTAGGGCCCAGGTCTCAATTCCCCATCCAGTGTTTTTTTCATTATTATAAAATGACCAGTGGGAGGCAGGTCTACTATTTGAGGTCACACTGAAAAGAGGAATTCTTTTATTTTTAGTGTTTTTCATTTTGCTTATGAAGGACCTAAACTTGTCCTTTAAATCCATATGCTCATTTCTAGAAGCTAGAAGGATAGATTTAGGAAAAAGTAAGGGCCTATGTAACAAGTATTCAGGTCTTCCTTAAAATATTTAGAAGATTAAAAATGCAGATTTAAGAAAGGCTTGCCTCGCGTGTGTAAGGCATTGGGTTCAATCCTCAGCACCACATAAAAATAAATAAAACACAGGTGTTATGTCCTGTACCAAAAAAAAAAAAAAAAAAAAAAAAATAGAAAAGAAAGGCTTAGTTAAATCCCCCAAACAAAGACTGAATATTCTGATATGCAGATGCTAACTCATAATAACAGTGTAGTGGGTAAGGGAAAAATAGAAGTGCTTTGGATTAGACAAAGGGAATGAAGGGCAGGGGGAATGGAAGTAAGAAAGATAGTAGAATGAATAAGATATTATTTTCCTATGTCCATACAAGAATACACAACCAATGTAATTTATCATGTACAACCAGAAGAATGGGAAGTTTTACTCCATGTATGTATAATATGTCAATATACATTCTATGTCATGTATAACTAAAAAGAACAGATAGAAAAACTAAAAAATAAATTAAATACATAAATAAAAGGCTTAGTCACATTCAGAGTTTCCCTTACATGGTATAAAATGAAAGTAATAGCTTGGTGATGTGATTCTAACATTCTGGGTTGAAGAAGGGATAGGTCACTGCTTCCTCTGGCTGCCAGATTTTAATTTTGAATGCCTCAAGGATTGGAGTTACAGTGGTTATAGGTCCCAAACAGGCCAGAACCTGGCATTTGATTTCTCCCTTGTCATAGAGGGATCTCGATTCCTCTCTGTTTTTGAAGAATGCCACATTTGTTCAACATGAGGAAGAAGGTTATGAGAAACTGTTTTCTCTAAGCCAGCAAGGACCTTCCCCAGCTTAGACGAGCTGTGCTATATGGGAAGACTTTTGCTTTGTATGAAATGCTGCATTATTCCTGGCTGAGCTTTGAGCATAAATTCCCAAGTATAGAGAGCAGGCTAGATGAGGGAAGGGGAAAGTGGTGTGTCTAGCTAGTGGTCCTCAACTTGAGGGATAATTACACATAATGCAAGTCTTGGCTAACTGTAATCCTATGGATTTGGAGTTAATGATTTCTAGATAACACTTTAGGAGTAGAAACAGAGATAAGTTTTTCCATTGGTTTGACTGCCTTAGAAAGTGGCGTTCAGCAGCCCCAGAGACATTTTTCTTCACTTTTTTTTAGCAGATATGAAGCAGTAGTGGAGAGGGACAGAGAAGAGGAGGCTGCTGGAAGGAGTGTTTTCAGATAGAAGTTAAGATATGCATGGTATCTGTTACATGGTATCATATTCAAGGTGCTGATTGCACATTGCATTTTTGCTGTATCACCCTACAATAAGGAAGATGGAGTAGGTGGTGGTATCCTGATTTTAAGGAAGCAGGCCTTGAGAAAAATTGTTTTATGAGATTCTAAAGCTTGTTCTTGGGTAGATAATTTCTTTGTTAAATCTCTGAAGAAAATTCCTAAGGAATTCTAATCTTTTCTCCCCCAACATTTGGGCAGAGTAGCTAAATAATTAATGTCTTAGTGTTTCAGGTTATGGATAGTTGAGTCGAGTAAAGACTGAATATTTGGCTTTTTCTGTATTAACTTTAAGTTTATATAGGCTCAAGATCATATTCTAAGCTAGTTTCCAATCATGGTTGGGCAGAAAAAAGTGGTAGAGGCACACTCCATACATTTAGAGTGGAGTGTGTGTTAATTCCCAAACCATTGTCATATAAACTCTAATTTTATTCCCTCAGTACCTCCAGGGTGGGGTTAGAGACAGTTAACTTTTTATAGTTACAGTGATTTGAAAATTTTGCTGAGTAACTGACAGGTAAGAGGTGATTGTACTTAAGAACAGAGAAATTCTGGGAACATAAGTGACCTCTTTGCTGAAAGAAGGCTCTGAGAATCTTTCCCATTTATGGCTTTAACTGCATCAGCACTTCAGGGTAATTTAATTCAGACCATATGTGTATATTTCTTATATTTCTAAGGCAGTCAAACCAATGTATTTATTGTACATTCAGCCCTTTTTTCCCTTATTGCTTTTCCTGTCTTTCAGAACATCTCTTGGGGGGTGTTTGGGGAGTGAAGGAATTAACCTAACTATGAACTGGGTATTATTTGTCAAATTACCAAATCTTGAGTTACCTGTAGTATACAAAAGAAAAGAAGGCTACAGGAATCAGGAGGGACATGTATCTGGGAGTAGACCAAAGATGACCATGCATTTTCTCCCTAGCCTATAGATTGCTGTCAAGAAAGAATTTTGATGGTGATATCATCTCCCAATGATGAAGGCCTTGCATCTGAAGTAGGTTTTTTCTCCCATCTTTTATAAAAGACAAGGATGAGGCACAGTTTAAGAAGAAAGATACTATACAGTTAAGGGTTATGTTTCTTAGGTAATTGGCAGGTGACCTGAGCAGATGCAGAGGTTGAAGACAGAGCAGGGCTGTGTAGGAGAGGGGAAATAGCCATGTGACCTTTGCCTCTAAACCCAGCCTCTCAGGGATCTGCTTAGCTCATTCCAAGGAAGGCATTGCTCCTGGCTTTTTGACACTTCAGAGGCTGTGGCTTCCACATCTTATAGAGGATTTATGAAAGCTCTACAAAGATTTTGAAAATTTTTAGCCCTATAATTGTTCAACTCTTTGCCTCTTATTCCCTCTGTCTTTGAGCCCTTCCCTTTCTAAAATTGAAAAAAATATGCTCATAAAAAAGCAAATTTAAAATTTCTATGTAATTTACAAAGTAAAAAGAAAATTTCTGCCAGGATTCCCAAGCCCTGTCTTTATCGCTCAACCTTTTGAATTTTAATGCTATTTGTATTAAATGGTCTTAGTAGTCACCAAATCCTTGACAGAAAATGTACTACTGACTCTCATGTGAGGTACATTCCTTCCCAGAAAAGTTTGAACCTAGTGACATACTAGAACCATCTCTCCCTGTTCCCTGGATATTCTTAATGAGTTTCAGTCTTTTGGTGGCTACAAAAGCCAAATTGATCTTTTTTTTTCCTTCCTACCTGTTAGCTCTTTTTTTGCATTTTAAGATTTTTTTTTAGGAATGAATTTTAGGATTTCTAGAAGAGGCCTTTTCATTACTTCCCTGTTTCCTGCTTGTTAACATGCCTTATAGGTGACAGATCACAGTCCAAACTGGCTGACGTGGATTGTGTGGTGAAAGTGAATATCATTATTGAGAGGAATAATACACATTTCATATTTGTACAGTCCTGTCATTATGTGCAGCATTTTCAGAGTTATTTCTTCATTTGATGTGAAGGAAATATAGCTAGTTTGATCGGTGAAGATGCTTAGAGATTGTGACATCATTTAGGTCAGAGCATATGCTAAAGCTGATCCAGAATTGTGATTACTTGAGAAGTCTTTGAAAGCATGATAATAATACTTTGAAGCTCTAGGGCATTTTGAACTACAGCCTTAGCCCAAATAACTATCTCTACTCTTTTTTCCCCCTCCTTTTCAGGGTGCTATTCTGACTTTTCTTAATAAGAACAACTAACATTATTGCCCACTTACTATGTGCCAACACTATTTGTTCCTTTCCTCTCTTTCAGTCTTCACAGATGCATGGGGTACATGCGGTTGTAATCTCCACTTTCCAGATGAGAAAAATCAAAGCTCAGGGGAATTAAAGAACTGATCCAGTGTGACAGACTTAGCCAGTGGAGCCAGGTTCTTACCCAGGCACTCTAACTCCAGAGACTGCTCCTAAGCATAAAACCATACTGCTGCGT